TCTGCCGCGGGTGTTCTGGGTCGGGTGTGCAGGCGTGTGCTGTGCAGCACGGGTGCGGGAAAGCCCTGGGCTCAGCCAAAAGGAACGGGCTGCTCTGCTCGGGTAGTCGGGACGCCGACTCTGATATACCCGCAGAGCAATGAGATTTGTGGATCTACAGAGGCTGGTCAGAGCTACTGTGAAGCAAATCTTGGTCAGATGTACAAGTTCCTGAAATACCACCTGGTCGACATTTCCAGGTGTGATGTGGCAGATGATGCGCGGGAAGGTGACGGAGCAATGCAGAACTAGGGACAGAACTGTGAGTTTAGAGCCCTAAAGCCCGTGCCACGTTCAGCATACTTGATAGCAAAGACTAAATAATGCTAGGGAATGAACGGCAAGTTAGTATTTGTATTTCTGTGGTCTCTGGCTTTAGTGCGGATATTATCATCGCTATTTATGGAACCGTATTGTATCTTTGACTGCTTTCCAGGGCTGTTTTACCCTGAGCCAGAGGATGATGTCTTCAGCAGGCGGTTGTGCTGGGAAATGGTACAAAATTGAAAACATACTAAATTGACTTCACAGACAGCGTTGGATTTCAGATATCCATCTTTCCCAGGTGTTTCACGAATTCTCTGCTGTACTCTTTGCAACCCTTGCTCACATGAGCCTATTTAAATGGGAAGCCTTATTGCTTTCTTTAACATGACTCACAGAAAAGTTGGCTTCAGACTCGGTAACTTCTCACACCGTGCTGAAAGCGCCGTTTTTTCCATCAGAGCTTCCTCTTCTAGCTCCAGGCAGCCTGCTGGGGATGGCCGCAGCCCAGAGGGTGACCATGCCGCTGTCGCTGCCTCCCGCAGCCAGACCTGCCTGGATCCTCTTAGTAAGTTGTCTCCTGCCCGTCTGGTAGCCAGGATTGTCACCTGTGTCACAGTTTGGGAGCGGTGGCTGGGCCGGGACTAATCCCCATCCCTGGAGCCGAGCCGTGTCCTGGAGAGGGAGCCACACTCCAGGCTCTGCCCGCTCCCTGCCTGCCGGGCTGGAGGACAGGCTCCCCTTTACCCTCCCTGCCGCCCTGCCAGCGGGCGTTGGGTCAGGGCTGGGGGGGACTGGTGCCTCACTGTGCCCCGAGGTTTCACCTGGACGCCTTAGAAGTCCAGACACCGCATACCCAGCACTGTGTTTGCCAAAGCTGGACCCAAACAGAGGATTAGCTAAGTGTAAGGAAAGTTTTTGGGTAGCAGTAATAAGTTAGCACTGAAAGACTAACTGAGAGCAGTCTTATGGTTTCCTGCTGTAGGAAAAGTCCTAACTTTTAAAGTCCTGACAGGAAAACAGAGGCCTGAATTTATCGTATCCTGGAGCTCTCTCCATCATTATAAAACATCTTTATGTAGTTGCCTTTCTTCTCTGGGAACAATGAAAGATGTTGTCTTCCCATCTGTTAGGATTGGCAGATACTTTACTTCTAAGTGAAAACATGAGCCCCTCTTACCCGCTCTTTTCTCTGACCAAAATGATTTATGCAACTGCTGTGACTTTGGAAGGGTTAAGGTTTAAAAAGCAGCTGCTTCGGTTTCTGCCAGGAGCTACCAACTTTTGTGCATGGCTCGTTGGTGACTTTAGTCTTGATGTAATGGTTTTCTTTCAGTGGCAAAGTATGTGAGTGGCATGGGCACTGAAACTACCCAAACCTTCTTATCCTACTTCTCTCACAGAAATCAGTATTTGCCGAAGGTCAGCTCTGCCTAGGGCTGCCCCAGGGCAGCGGAGCAGGGCCCAGCTGCTGCTTTGATTCCTCCTTGCCCTTGGTGAGAGAGTTTGTTGGCAGGTTTTTCAAGCAGGAGAGTTTTAGTGCAGCATCCCTGCTCCTCTCTCTTCTTCCCCATCCTACTGTGTCGGCTGCCATGCGCCCATCCTGCCTGGAAGGAAGGCAGGAGACAGCTCAGCCCTCTGTAAGCCCTCACCGTTGCTGCAAAGACCGGCAATAACAACTGGTGATACTTGTGGCAGTTTTTTGGAAACTTAGCAGTGAACCATCTGAGAATTGGGCTTGGGCACTTCTCTCTCCATTTTCTCATTTCACAGGGGCCGGCGGACTGTCACCCAGCTTCAGCAAAATCCTTATCAACACCTCTTTTTGTGCTGTTCCCCTGCGTAGTAGGGAGTTTAGTGGGAAAAGGCAGATAGCAATTTAACCTCGTTCCCTAACTCCTCTTTGCCCAGCGTATTCCCCCGCCACCCCGGGAACTGGTTGTTTAACAGCGCTCTAGCAGCCGAGTGCAGGTCGGATGCGTCCCTGTCCGTTTTATACGCACAGCAGAATTTCCTTGGGAAGTGATCAATTTTTTTATCTATTAGGGTGCATAGGAAAGATTACATCTCTGTGGGATATTTTTAGAGCGTGGGGAAAGGGGTTTTGGGTGGTGTGTAGAGGGTTGGCATTGGGTAGTGCAAAAGAGCTGTCTTTCGAGAAACAAACCTGAGTAATTTCTGCTACTGTTCTGCTGGGTTTCCCCCCTCCTCTCGTCGGGGTTGGACACAGCTGGTGGGAGGGATTTCTGACTGTCAGCAAGAAAAGAAACAAGAGAGCATGTGAGGGAAAGGAGCTAGACCTGGGAAAGGCAGGAGGAAAGTTTTGTTACTCCCTTGAAATGCAGGGAAGCTGCTCTTAGTGTGTGCATGTGCAAGGAGTTACTTGATCCTGTCTCCGGAGGAAGGTGGGGAGCTGTAGCAGGAGGATGGCTTCAGCTGTGCAGATGGGGTGAATGAGCACTCTGCCTGCTTTTGGACAAGTCCTCTGGGAGGTGGACTTCTTGCTGTGCAGGGGAGCACCCCTCCTTTTTCCCTTCCCTCGCTGAGCGCTGATTTTTTTATGGCCTTGTGAAGTATCGCGACTCCAAATCAGCTAAACCCCCATGGGGCTTCATTGCTGGACAGAACCCAGGTCTTGTGAGCCACCAGGTCTTTGGGCTTTGTCAAGAAGCAAATGCCAGGAGGAAAAGCCACTTCAGTACGTTTCGCTACAAGCAAATGAGCATAAGAAGCCAGGTCTGGTTTTGGGAAAAACCCAGTGACGATCTGCACTATAATCGTTTCCCATGGACTGAACAAACTTGCTGAACTGAACCCATATGGGAGGAAGCATCTAGGAGCGATAAATCTGCTCTCCCTGTGCAAGAATTCCAGCGTGCTCCAATAGCATTGTCCTTTGCAAGAAAGGGAGACACCGGCAAGTTGGGAACAGGAGGTGACCAGGAGTGTCCTCTTTTGGGGAACAGGAACTCACAAGTCGTGCTTGAGAAGGCTGTGAGATTTTCTAGGCGCTCACTGGAAGCACCTTGCGGGGGAGAGAGGAGCTGTTGCAATGGAGTTTCATGCAGTGGCACTGTCATTCATCCTTGCATTGCGAATATCTTCTCTTGCTTCTGGGAACAAACTTCAGCCCCATATGTAAGTAGCAAGAAAAGAGAACCGGGGCGTTTTTATAGGGCAGGGAACTGTAAAGCAGAAGCTAAATACAGTATTTTAAAACCAAAGGTGAAGGGAGGAGCAGAGAGAGCGAGGGGGAGGGAGGGCTGTTCTGTGTTTCTTTATCTAGTACCAGATGTACGTAAAGGTGAATAGAAATTTGAAAATCTGGATAGTCTTTGCTTGTAGGAGGTAACTCACTGTGTTTAACTGCAATGTTGCTATTGTGTGAGTGCAGGAGGTGATTGTTGTGTAAATAGTTTGACCTTTCTTCATAGAACTGCTGTTTTATTGCACTTAACGTATCTCTTTCTTATGGCATGTTTCTTTCCCCCTTCTGCTGTTACTCTAGCAGCACATAGTCCGTTCTTTTTAATTAAATTTTACAGTTACGGTTTGGTGTTAATCATTTGGCTTCTTTGGAAAACTTCCTTGCACATTTGGTCTCCTGCCAGAAGATGATCTCTCGATGCCGGGGGATTGCTCCAATTCTTTTTGTAAATGAAGCCAGTGTTGCCTGGTGTGCTAACTCCAAGCTACTCTCCCTCATGTTTTTAACTTTTTGATTGAAAAGGGGTCTTTTTCAGCAGATAAAGGTTTTGCAGGAAGATGCCTTTTCTCCCTACGTCAGAGAGTTTGTGCTCCTGCCTCGACAAGTACTTTTAGGGCTTCTTGGATGAGACGTTAGAGATGAGATGTGTGCCAAAGTGTCAGAGAAAAGAAAACGCCAGCGCCTGGGAAGTGCTGTCACTTC